AAAAAAGCGGATTGGAACAGCTTGCGATCACGGCAGGTACGTCTGGCTGATCAGGCCAGATATCAGCACGGATCTTGACCCTCTTCGTTGGATCACCAGTCAAGTCCGTGGGTGATCCCCCTGCCTCTTTTGCTGCGTTGAGAGACTGTAAGTTAGTAGCGAGACCAGGAGGCCTTAGTAGCAAAGCCAGGGGCCCTAGTAGCGTCCTTACACCTTGTAGAAAGGTCAGAGGTCCTGGCTCCTGATAGCGAGGCCAGAAGCCCCTAATAGCGTCGTTGGTGTCCACCGGTCGCCGAACTTTGTACATATAGCGCCAATATTGGCGCGTTTTGTGAAGACTACTAGCGACCTAAAAAGCCTTAGAAAGACAGAAAAAGCAAACAAAACAAAAGCAGACTAAGAGGGCAAGAAGGAAAGATAGGTGTAGTTACGAGGCCCACTTAGTTAAATGAAAGTAGAGCGCGAGCGGGACATTTTGTCTTAAACCGCCCGGGTAGCTAGCAATAGCTAGGAGAAACAGAAGGAAAGGCACCGACACACAAGTGTGTTGAGCGCGATTTCCTTCTGTTGCTCGAAAAGCGGGTGGGGTAGCAACGAGGCCCAGGGGTAGGGGGGGTTGTGTGTGTGCCTATGCATGTATATGCCCGGCCTGTGAATACTTAGCTGCAAGACGTGGACAAGTGGTTACTTAGCCGCATGCAAGAAACCAAAACCCTTAGGAACAGGGGTTGACACACACACACACACACACTACCACATCACTACTCACTCGCTGAGCCTCGTTGCTAAAGCAGCAACGTGGCGCATAGCATGACTAAGGTTCATGCTCCAGTGGATTGGTGTTGTCGATTTTGACCTTACAAAGGGATGAGTGGGTCTCAGCCTATGGGACCATACAGTATGACTATAATTAAATTAGTCAGTGGCAAAACCGAATAGTCAGCAACTACTTCAGCAACTATGGCTACTACTGCGCGTGCTGGGTTGCACTTGCGCGCTCGTCTCAGCATGCGCCAAGTTGGCCTGACGGAAATCGCAAAAGGTCACTTTCAAACGGAGAAAAGGACTTAAACTCAAAACAAAACAACGTGTTGCTTCAAGAGTGTTACTTTCTGAATCAAGTAAGTGGGATCAGCCATCCTTGGACAATCTCCTTTACAACACTCGTGTCAAAACTGGACTGGAAGTTCATTCCGTCCAAGTCCCGAACTAGCTCCGTGGAAAGTCCAAAGTCGCCCAACTTCGCATGGCCGCCCTCCGCCTTCGACAAAAAAATGTTCGGCCTGAGGCAACAATCTTCTGGATCTAATTGATAAATCAGTGAAGGCAATCAGTGCAAGCGTCTGCTCACATGTCTTTGCAGTTTGATGCAGTTGCGCTTTGCCATTGCTCAACTATTTGACTCAAATATACACAAAAAGAGCGGGAAGGAAGGGCACGATTTGAACGATGCGGGGTCTTTTTCTTCCCCCACACAGCCCTGAGAACACTTCAGCCTAGCATGATACATACCAGCTGCAAGGCTATTTCCTTGCTGAGCGGACATACAGTGAATCAGCTGGAAGTAACTGGGCTGAAGTTGGACAAACAATATCTCGGCACCGTGTCATGTGCTTGACGTCCAGCTTTGTATCTAGTCACCTGCATGTTCGCCACGTTGCTGGGGTCAGCCCTCGTACCGCTCTGGACGAAGGCCACCCTCTGGCATCTTTCTTGAAAAACTGCAGACAGAATCACGGGACAATGGACATCAATCGCATCAATACAGCTCAGCTGTATTGCAATGAGATGCTGTCAAACATTCTTGGGCATGTCGAGAAGGACTCAGGACGACAAGCATTGGTGGTGCAATCCAGGGCTTTCAATCCAGCGCCTGACAGCATTTTGAAATGCTTGCCAGCATCGAAATTAAAGAGACAATGCTGCCGTGCAAGCCGGCCACCACAGTTCAGTCGGCATGACATTCTGATGTCATGCGGCATCATGCTGAAACTGCTGCCGAGCAATGCAAGAGAATTATTTTTGGTCTGCTGACTTAACACGGACTAGCTGCTACGATAGCTGGACCCTTAGCCTTTAAAAAAAGAGCATGCATGACCGAATGACCCCTCCTGAAAGAGTGAGCAGTTGTGCAAGCAGCATTCACATCTTCAAACAGTTTCCGAATCAAGCCTTTTGAAGTGTATCAATATTCGGTGTGCATGAGGGGGTTGAGTCTACATAGTCTACATAGATGCAATTTGCAATGGCCCCCCCACAAAAACATCAACAATTCCAGATAGTTTAAGAACATGATGGAACCATGGAACATGAGTGAGCGTGTGCACACATCCTAAAATCTCCTGCATGATGGCCAGTGTCCAAGCAACCATGGCCATCTCTTTGCAACAGTCTCTTTGCAGCACTGTGATGGACCACATTTGCTTGGAGCTCGAGCGGAAAATTCTGGGATTTGGGATTTCTTAAAGTACTCTTTGGCCATCCGTTAGTCTGGAGGCACGGAAGTCACGGAAGTGCTTAAAAAGAGCAAATCCTGAATCCGTCTAAGGATTGTTCCTCCCATCAACGCGGAAAAGCGGAATAGCACCACCAATGGACGAGACCCCGGTTTTCGCAGTAATTACGGTGCCTGAGCTGGAGACAACCAGAATATCGTCAATGCGTTTAAGTTTTGATGTAACTGCAAGCACGGAAGCATATGAACGCCATACCATTATGCCAGCTAAGTCACCTCTGTCCGACTCTTCCTCGCAGGCCTCAACACGAAGCCCCGTGCATGCACCGTGGCACTGTGGCACCCCTGATGTGTTGTGTCGAAAATGAAGAACCCCATGTTTCCGGAGGTTGAAGTCTTAGTAACTTGAGCTCAATCTTCATGGCTTGCCTTCTCCACTGCTTTTGCAATTTGGGGACCTGGGAGCTGGCTGCTCGGCCTCAGGATGAACAACTCGGAGCTCTGGCTGCCAAAGTGCAGGTTTCTTGTGCACAGTGCTGCTCTGGACACAGCCAGCAGCCAGCTAAGCCACAAGCTGAGCTTCATCTGAGACCTGCAGCCAGGCAGGCAAGCTTGATCCATGAAAAACATTGAAACACTGACACACCATTTTTAATGCTGTGTTGCCTGGCAAAGATCAATTAGATAAACGAATGCACGGAGGGTGCGAGGGCCCTCCAAACAGAAAGAAGAGAGGAGGGGAGAAGGGAGTAACCTAGAAAGGAATGGAAAAGACAAACATGGGAAGGGGGGAAGTCGGAAAGGAATGAGTGGCGGGCAGAAGTGACATCCATCCGCTGTGCCTGGTTGGATGGTTGTGGCATGGACTCAACACCTTCAAGGAGCGCACAAGCCTCAGTGTCTCAATCGCCAGGGCTTTCTCTGTCAAGATTCTGCGACCCACCAACGAATGGACAAACTGACAAACTGTTGCATTTCGCAACTTCACGTCTCAACTAGCACAGTATTCTCTGCAAAAACCGAACCTACTAGGTGACCCACAATTTGTCGACTACCCCACACGGCGCGCGAGACGAATAGGAGAGCTTGGACTCTCTCATCATTCAGCCTCCGAATCCATGTGATGGAAAACACTGGGAGGCTTTGGACATGTCGCAACACCACATCTCCAAATCTTGATCATTTCTTGCAAAAGTTGCGCAATCAAAATACGGAAAGCGCGTGTGCAGCGATTCGATGAATGAATGCCTCTGCCCGAGGCAACGCTCCAAAAACTTGGAACCTAAATGAACCTATATA